CCCGAGTGGGTTGGTATTTTTAGGGTAAGTTTACAACCAGTGGTGTCATGGTAATTTTTGCAGTGGCGGAACGGTGCATCGTTGTATTATATAGAGATCTATGATCTGGCCCAGAACTGAGGTAAAGGCATGGTATAGCCACAGTCTTAACCATGTCTTTACGTAGAGTTCAAAATTCCATTAATAGGTGGTCCATGGTGTTAACATGAGATTTGACACATGTTTTGCCAACAATCTCGATCGTAGATCAGTTCCTTATGATTTTTATTCATTAAGCTGATCCATCGTTCAGCTTCCGCTAAAATGCGGGGTATGAGCTTCTGTTACTCATGTCGAAGTGGCGTAGTTTGCCAGATTTTGGCAACATTAATTATGTTGTATTCATTCTTAGGCCTACAGTAACTACATTTTTATAATATAATATATAAGACTTACCGTCTTGAAGCAATCCAGTTTTTGTACTCAGTGTACAGCTGTTTCGGCTTCATAAAGCCATCTTCAGCACATTCTTCTAGAAGTCAATTCATTATAAATATGCGAACATTCTGGTTCTTGTCAACTTTTTACAACAATGTCGTGTTGTGTAAAATGTGTTGTAAAAAGTTGACAAGAACTAGAATGTTCGCATATTTATAATGAATTGACCTCTAGAAGAATGTGCTGAAGATGGCTTTATGAAGCCGAAACATCTGTACACTGAGTACAAAAACTGGATTGCTTCAAGACGTTAAGTCTTATATATTATATTATTTAAAAAGCAAATCCTGGTCAGCCAACCACAAAGTATACATTTTTATTACATACTAAAATTATTTTTAGCTCTTTTTTGTACCACATTGTTTTGTTTGAACGGATACCCACATATTTTTTTTATAATTAATTTTGTTATAACAGTTTTTATGAAATTTCCACTTTCGTCCAAAACTAGTGCCGGAACAGCGTTCCGGCACCATGACACTCCTGTTTACAACTACATGCAGAAGTCTGGGAGAGCATCAGAATGAGGCAGTAACACCATCTATGAGGTATAGGATGTACTTTGTCGATATAGTTTGTCAGATTGCCGCTAGTAGTCCACCACTGACCTCCATCGGCGATTTGGTGAAACACTGCACAACCCTGGGCACCAACCCGATCAGTTCGGCATGTTGCTCCGCCCTACATGTGGCCCTATCTATGCCTATCTATACCTATCTATGCCGGCCCAATTAGACCCATGTGGCACTCAACGTGTTAACTGTAGATTTTTACAGATTTTCGGGAGGACCAATAATATAAAATTCCCTGGCCGCATAAAATGTAATGAAGCATTTGAAAATGGCAACAGAATAAATATTTTGAACAATATTTATTAAAATAAGGTAGAACAAAATATTTCTTAGTTTTTTGAATTTTTAAAATTTGAAAGAAAAACTCTGCCGCATGAACCACAATTTTTTAATGTAAAGTTCAAGTTATGCAAAATGTTTGTAATTTATTTCCCTTCATACAAATTTAAAATAATCAATTACTATTTTTTTTTTGTGACCGAAATTGAAAAAATGGCAAGTTCTATGATTTTGCGCTACAAGTTTCACACAAAAACCAAATAAATTTTTTTCTCGAGAATAAGAAATCTAAGAAAAGTACAAGTTTTGTGAAGGCAATAAAATTGGAAACCAAATAAAGTAAGAGATGTTCATGGAAAATAAGAATTACGTACTATTAATTTTTATAACTTATAAATTTTTATATTTTTTGTAGAAAATATTTTTTTCTTTTCAAACATAGCCTACATATTATTTTGCAAACACATACATAAAATCCTAAAACCAACTATGTAAAATGAATGTAAATTAATTCCACTATATGAAAATATATAGTAGGTAGGCCTCGGTACTACATGTTTTGAGGTCCCATAAAACAGGGTTTCCACCAGCCATGAAAACCTTGAAAAGGGTACTGTCCTGTGATGGAGGCAAGTGTAGGCCTAGTGATTGCCGTGTCTTCACATCTTCTACAAGTCTACAAGATGTGCAGTTTGCTATAGAGACACTAGATTTATATCTATTTGTATGTTTTGGCCAGACTTGAGGACTGTCCTGTGATGGAGGCAAGTGTAGTGATAGCCGTGTCTTCACCTCATCGTCATGCCAGTCTACAAGCTGTGCAGTTTGCTATAGAGACACTAGATTTATATCTATTTGTATGTTTTGGCCAGACTGGGGGACTGTCCTGTGATGGAGGCAAGTGTAGTGATAGCCGTGTCTTCACCTCATCGTCAGGCCAGTCTACAAGCTGTGCAGTTTGCTATAGAGACACTAGATTTATATCTATTTGTATGTTTTGGCCAGACTTGAGGACTTTCCTGTGATGGAGGCAAGTGTAGTGATAGCCGTGTCTTCACCTCATTGCAGGCCAGTCTACAAGCTGTGCAGTTTGCTATAGAGACACTAGATTTATATCTATTTGTATGTTTTGGCCAGACTTGAGGACTGTCCTGTGATGGAGGCAAGTGTAGGCCTAGTGATTGCCGTGTCTTCACATCTTCTACAAGTCTACAAGATGTGCAGTTTGCTATAGAGACACTAGATTTATATCTATTTGTATGTTTTGGCCAGACTTGAGGACTGTCCTGTGATGGAGGCAAGTGTAGTGATAGCCGTGTCTTCACCTCATCGTCAGGCCAGTCTACAAGATGTGCAGTTTGCTATAGAGACACTAGATTTATATCTATTTGTATGTTTTGGCCAGACTTGAGGACTGTCCTGTGATGGAGGCAAGTGTAGGCCTAGTGATTGCCGTGTCTTCACATCTTCTACAAGTCTACAAGATGTGCAGTTTGCTATAGAGACACTAGATTTATATCTATTTGTATGTTTTGGCCAGACTTGAGGACTGTCCTGTGATGGAGGCAAGTGTAGGCCTAGTGATTGCCGTGTCTTCACATCTTCTACAAGTCTACAAGATGTGCAGTTTGCTATAGAGACACTAGATTTATATCTATTTGTATGTTTTGGCCAGACTTGAGGACTGTCCTGTGATGGAGGCAAGTGTAGGCCTAGTGATTGCCGTGTCCTCACATCTTCTACAAGTCTACAAGATGTGCAGTTTGCTATAGATACACTAGATTTATATCTATTTGTATGTTTTGGCCAGACTTGAGGACTGTCCTGTGATGGAGGCAAGTGTAGGCCTAGTGATTGCCGTGTCTTCACATCTTCTACAAGTCTACAAGATGTGCAGTTTGCTATAGAGACACTAGATTTATATCTATTTGTATGTTTTGGCCAGACTTGAGGACTGTCCTGTGATGGAGGCAAGTGTAGTGATAGCCGTGTCTTCACCTCATCGTCATGCCAGTCTACAAGCTGTGCAGTTTGCTATAGAGACACTAGATTTATATCTATTTGTATGTTTTGGCCAGACTGGGGGACTGTCCTGTGATGGAGGCAAGTGTAGTGATAGCCGTGTCTTCACCTCATCGTCAGGCCAGTCTACAAGCTGTGCAGTTTGCTATAGAGACACTAGATTTATATCTATTTGTATGTTTTGGCCAGACTTGAGGACTTTCCTGTGATGGAGGCAAGTGTAGTGATAGCCGTGTCTTCACCTCATTGCAGGCCAGTCTACAAGCTGTGCAGTTTGCTATAGAGACACTAGATTTATATCTATTTGTATGTTTTGGCCAGACTTGAGGACTGTCCTGTGATGGAGGCAAGTGTAATGATAGCCGTGTCTTCACCTCATCGTCAGGCCAGTCTACAAGCTGTGCAGTTTGCTATAGAGACACTAGATTTATATCTATTTGTATGTTTTGGCCAGACTTGAGGACTGTCCTGTGATGGAGGCAAGTGTAGTGATAGCCGTGTCTTCACCTCATCGTCATGCCAGTCTACAAGCTGTGCAGTTTGCTATAGAGACACTAGATTTATATCTATTTGTATGTTTTGGCCAGACTGGGGGACTGTCCTGTGATGGAGGCAAGTGTAGTGATAGCCGTGTCTTCACCTCATCGTCAGGCCAGTCTACAAGCTGTGCAGTTTGCTATAGAGACACTAGATTTATATCTATTTGTATGTTTTGGCCAGACTGGGGGACTGTCCTGTGATGGAGGCAAGTGTAGTGATAGCCGTGTCTTCACCTCATCGTCAGGCCAGTCTACAAGCTGTGCAGTTTGCTATAGAGACACTAGTTTTATATCTATTTGTATGTTTTTGCCAGACTGGGGGACTGTCCTGTGATGGAGGCAAGTGTAGTGATAGCCGTGTCTTCACCTCATCGTCATGCCAGTCTACAAGCTGTGCAGTTTGCTATAGAGACACTAGATTTATATCTATTTGTATGTTTTGGCCAGACTTGAGGACTGTCCTGTGATGGAGGCAAGTGTAGTGATAGCCGTGTCTTCACCTCATTGCAGGCCAGTCTACAAGCTGTGCAGTTTGCTATAGAGACACTAGTTTTATATCTATTTGTATGTTTTGGCCAGACTGGGGGACTGTCTTGTGATGGAGGCAAGTGTAGTGATAGCCGTGTCTTCACCTCATCATCAGGCCAGTCCACAAGCTGTGCAGTTTGCTATAGAGACACTAGTTTTATATCTATTTGTATGTTTTGGCCAGACTGGGGGACTTTCCTGTGATGGAGGCAAGTGTAGTGATAGCCGTGTCTTCACCTCATCGTCAGGCCAGTCTACAAGCTGTGCAGTTTGCTATAGATACACTAGATTTATATCTATTTGTATGTTTTGGCCAGACTTGGGGACTGTCCTGTGATGGAGGCAAGTGTAGTGATAGCCGTGTCTTCACCTCATCATCAGGCCAGTCTACAAGCTGTGCAGTTTGCTATAGAGACACTAGATTTATATCTATTTGTATGTTTTGGCCAGACTTGGGGACTGTCCTGTGATGGAGGCAAGTGTAGTGATAGCCGTGTCTTCACCTCATCATCAGGCCAGTCTACAAGCTGTGCAGTTTGCTATAGAGACACTAGATTCATATCTATTTGTATGTTTTGGCCAGACTGGGGGACTGTCCTGTGATGGAGGCAAGTGTAGTGATAGCCGTGTCTTCACCTCATCGTCAGGCCAGTCTACAAGCTGTGCAGTTCGCTATAGAGACACTCAAGGCTTCAGTTCCTGTCTGGAAGAAGGAGGAGTATGAGGGAGGTGTAGAACCTTCATGGAAAGAGAACAAGGAATGTCCCTGGAGCTCCTCTACTTCCTGACATTACAAATGGTTTCTATTTTATGTTATTGATAATAGTCCATATTTTCTTTTAGTTAGTGTGCTTTTTTAATGCAAGTTCATGGATTCGGTAAGCATATCTGATATGCAAGCATATCTGATATGCTTTTACCAGAATGCTTGTAAAAGTGTGTAAAAATAATGTGTTGTGTCCCTAAAATGTGGGTCATTGTCAAAATAGAATTATATATTTTTACATACGTTCAATAAAAAAATAAAAAAGTAGCCTACTTTTTGGAAAAAAATGATTAAAGCTTTAAGCTGTCATCTGGTCTTTAAAAGTAGGTACATTCTCAAATTTTGAATACCTAATTAGATTAGGTTTTTATGGTGTGTATATTAATGCAAGGATTAGTGTTAAACTAATGAGATGGCAGCTTTCTTACTGACTAAGATCAGCTGGTTCTTTACTCAGCCAGGTGGATTTGTGAAAAACCCAATAATCATGGACAGCTGGGCCCAGTTTTGAACCATTAAAAATAGTTATTTTTGTGTAACTAGTGGGCGAAGTGGCACTTTGCTGCACACAAGAGAAATGTTTACGCACAAGCCGTAGGCGAGTGTGGAAAGTTTCTCGAGTGCAGCAAAGGCAGTTTGCACTCACGTTACACATTATATTTTCCCTACAGATTCTATAAAGCATATAAATAATTAGTCTTTCAAACACTGTACAACATGTTTTAGTGTTAGTAGATTGAATCCAAACATTGAACGAAATGGGAAACGCTGCACCAGCTGATCGTAGCCGTAAAATCTTTAAGTGTTGCCTACTTATTTTCAAGCGTACACGTATTACATGCCTAATAAAAGCACGCTGTTTTGTGTTGTTTGGTTGGAATACTAGTGTGCAGCAAAAGAAAGTAGTTGCAGCAATTAGCAACTGCTAATAATCAGTGCAAGGAAGGCCTCTATGTCACTTAACTGTAGGAAACGTATTTTGATTATTCTCAGGATCAAACCACATTGACCTTGGAATTATGCTTGATTTTTACTTTTATCCATTATTTATTTAACTACACAAAAGATTTGGCAACATTTTAAGCTTTATATTTACGTCGTGTTGTACCGGTACAACTTATTATCTGACTCTGATCCTTGATACTGTAAAAGGTTATTTAAGTATTTTAATTTTATGTTTCCATAAATTGTATTAGTTTTACTGTTTACATATTTCATGATATTAGTTTGACAGCTATAGTTCGGCCGCTTAGAAAGCGACCTCCTCCAGCATTGGTTTAGCATTAGCGCGCAGGTCGTTTTCTAAGCGGCCGAACTATACCTCAAGTTCACCACAACATACTCTATTTAATCCTTCCATTCTATATACAGCAGTATGGATTAATTTAAAAATATTTTGATTACCATGTTAATTATTGTTATTATATATAGTATAGGGGCATTTGTAAATATCCGTATTGTATTGTATTGGGGTATTTGTAAGTACGTGGTATTTTGAATGAAGCAGTTATATGATTGGTGGCGATAGATAGGTAATGACATGTAGAATCGTGTACTACCGGTTGTTTTGTCTGAAAGTTTTTGGCCTAGCTGGTTTCGGCCCCCATCTTGGATCCGCCATATTGGATATTATTGATACAATTTTTTTAATGCAATGATAGTGTTTTGACACATTATTATGAACTAAAATTTCACTCTGATTTCAATGCCGAAACCTGTTTTTAAATATCATTTTCCGTTTGGATGATATATTTAAATGAAAACTTTCCCCCATACATTTTTTATGGAAATTTCCTACTTTGACCATTTTTTATATTATTTTTCTTAAATCTCCAGTTCTTATAAACGTTTGCAGTTTGTTCTAGCCTTAAAATATTCAGTGATGTAAGGGCTTTAATTTGAGCTATTGACCATTAGAATCGGACGAGTTAGAGTCGAGCCATGAACCCAAACACAATATTAAATTTAACCTTTTACAAATCAGTTTTTATTAAAAGATTTATATTTGGGGTTGTTATTATGTCACAAAGTTCTTTCTGGTCTCAAATTAATCAGTAAATGTTTGGCTTTAATTTTTTTAAATCACTAAATTAAATCTGACTACTTTAAAATGAGTCATAGATCTTCATTTATTATTAAATTATTTTTTATGTCTAAATGTGTCTTTAGTTAAAGACATACAGGGCGGTTCATCAGTGTAAACAAATTTCATTGTTGTAAGTACAAATTAAATGAAGTGTCATGATGCATTTACTTAATTTACTTTGTACTTCACCAAAAAATTGTTGTAACATTGATAACCAGCACAAAATAGTCTTTAACCAAAGACAAATTTTGACATAAAAACTATTTAATGTTAAATGAAGGTCTATGACTCATTTTAAAATAGTCTGATTTAATTTAGTGAATAATAAAATTTAAAACCAAACTTTTACTGAGTAATTTGAGACCAGAAAGAACTTAGTGACGTAATAACAACCCGAGATATTAAAAAATTGTCAAATCACAAAATGTATGGGGGAGAGATTTTATTTTAATATATCTTCCAACAAAAAAAGATATTTAAAAATGGGTTTTGGCATTGAAATCAGCATGAAAATCTAGTTCATAATGATGTGTCACAACTCACAACACTAACATTGCATTTAAAAAAATGTATAAATATCTATTATGGTGGATCCAAGATGAGGGCCAAAAACACCAGCTGGCCACACAGAACACCAGGTAGTACACGATTCTACATGTCATTCATTACCTATCTATCGCCACCAATGATACAATTGCTTCATTCAAAATCCCATGAAATTACATGCCCCACAACTAAGACTTGCAGTGTTAGTTTGCCAATGGTGAAGGGAGTAGAGGTCAAAGGGATTAAATATCAGAACTTAAAAGTCTATGTTTATTTTTATTGTTTTTGTATTTCCATGCTAGATATTTTCTTTATATTTTAGAAGGAAATGGTTGAATCCTTGTTCATGATGTAATACATTTTATTAGAAGATAATAATTTATAGGTTCCTAGGTATAAATTTCAATTTTACATTTTAAGATTTTCTATGTTAGAACTTAAACTTGACCAATCTAGATGAATTTTATTGAATACAAAATACAGTTTTTTTTAATAAAATTAAAATGGTCTGTAATTTAAAAGTTGAAAAAAAAAATTATCGAGTAACCTTTAAAAGAATTCTAACAATCTCAAAACAACAAAGTTAGGCTATTTGCATTTTCATAGATTTAACACTATTGTTGATTGAACACTTTTGGAAGATTCATAGAAAATATAATATTTGTTTTGATAAAATGACTTTTTATACATTTCCTTTTTTATCAAAATAAATTTTCAACTGGTATAAACAATAATATTAATACAGTAGAACCTCGATAATTCGAACCTCAATAATTTGAATACCTCTATAATTAGAAATATTTGTCTGTTCCCCTCAGAAAACCTCTAAAATTGAAAAAATAATATACCGATAATTCAAAGTGATTTTTACGCTTAATGCAGCCTCTCCAATTCAAATTTGCACATACTTGAGCCTCTATTTTTGTTGCCATAGTTTGAATTGTTACCTCTAAAATTCGAAGTCAACCTCTACAATTCGAACTGCATTACCGTAAGCCTCTGTAATTCGAATTTAGAACAAAAAATACACCTGTTCAAACATGAAATGACGCTCTTATTGATGTTCCGACGATGTGTTCATTAGTCTCCGTTCTCTCAAACTCCCTACACTCAAAACTGGGACCTCCATAATTCAAATGTTATTTATTCTGACCTCTATAATTCAAACTCTCTATATTTTAAACTTCCTATGATTCAAATCAAAATATATTGGATTTCCTCTGAAATTCAAATTAGCGAGGTTCTACTGTATCTTGTCAACAAGTTGACTGATCATTGGTATGTACTAGTACATTGATGTTAACTTGTACACACACCAGAATCAGAATTAAGGCTTGTTGACACCCGTGTCGCCAGACATCTTACTAAGTCTTCGGTGTTTTAATACGTTGCTTGTTACGCCTGGCTACGGAGTCGGCCAGCCACCGCCGCTGTTATTTCCCCCTCTGCCAGTGCCACACTCCAAATGATCACAGATCAAGACTTACCTTGCGCCCATAGGAGAACCTGGAATGATGTCCTATTAACTACCGTGGTGCGATCCTGCATTAACTCTACCATGGATGAAGAGTGATACTGATGACAAACTGTTGCTGTTATATTCAACATATCAACATATGTATGTGTATATATATATATATGGTTATATCCAATTAATTAAAAAATAAATTAATTTGGTGGATTTAACCATCTAATGGATAACCTAATGAATGATGTTGAAAAGTTAAGTTTACATTACAGCTTGTAGGGTGATGGTAGCTGGTATGCATGCAAGTATTCAGAGACGCGTAGCTAGCTGGTGTAGCAGCAGCGATGTCACCCGTGTATTAAGATGCGGTGTGAACATGCTCATTTAAAAAACATTAAGAGCTATGTCAGCAATGTTTTCCAAAGATGTAATAAGATATCTGCCGACGCCGGTGTGTACACTGTACTGTACAGTCCTTTTTAATCTAATCATTCCAAAATTTGGATCTTTTGAACACCGTTTATAGCCCACAATGCTTCAGGTTAGGTGAATAGATTGCATTGAATTTTTTACCCAAAAACTTGGAGCGTGGATAAATTATTAACACCAGATATGGGGCTAATGTTTTTTAGATATCTTGGTTTTACTTGCTGAAGTTAGAATTGAAGTTGCACTTAACACAATATATTTATGACCAAACACTTTTTTCACCACACTACGAGGTTTATAGCCCTTTTATAAACGTTAATTGGAGGCTGAAAGCAACGTATTGCTGTCTATGCCAGCTGTCATCGTCATTTGGGGACCGAGCAGGTTTTTGCTGCTCTAGGGCCAAAAATCAGCTTTTTGTTTATTTACATCAAACATTAATGTATAATATTTAATACACAAGGTGTATCCTGTATCCATGCATTGCATTGGAATAGACTTGTTTTATTGTCACCGCTGCTTAGCGACTATTTATTATTATTTTTATTACTGGTTCCTCTAAATATTTCTTCACATAACCTTAAAGTTGCCGTTGTGTTGCCTGTTAGTGTGGAGAAAAATTGTGTCTGTACCCCACACTGAAAAAATGATCTCGAGCCGGCAAAACCTCAATTTTGGCCCTAGGTACGAAATATACTATTCAAACCAACCATATTGTGATTTCTATTACACTAAAAA